TGGGTGGGTCCTCTCCAGCATCAACTCATGGGCTGGTGGATTGATAGAGGACAGGGGTCTACGTCATCTCTAGGGATGACCATTGAAATCCAGCCCTCTTTACACCAGAGCAAACCAGTTACTGTCAAGTCAATTCCGACTCATGGTGACCCACGTGTGTCAGAGTAGAACTGTACTCCATAGGGTTTTCAATGGCCGGTTTATTTAGTAGATTGTCAGGTTTTTCTTCCAAGGCACCTCTGGGTGGACCCAAACCTCCAACATCTGGGTTAGCAGCCCAGTGAATTAACCATTTGCGCCAGCCAGGGGGTCCTTACAGCCGAGCAGTCAGTGAGCAAACATGGGCCAAATCCACCTACTGAAATCAGCCACTCCCACTCATGTGTGTATTGTCTACAGCTGCTTTCCTGCTACCCTGGCAGAGTTAGGTGTTTGTGACAGATCACATGGCCTGCAAGCTTAAAATATTCACTGTCTGGCCCTTTGCAGAAGAAGTTTGCCACCTCTGCTCTAGACTGTGTGGCTGGTAAAATGGTAAATATTTCCCAACTGTCTGTGCTGAGAAATCATCGAGGGTTTTGGAGGAGAAAAGTTCTAAGGGAGTTCAGCTTAGTTGTCCTCATTCATTTCATCACATATTTAGCCGTGAAGTGAAGAGGTTTCAGTGAGCTCTACATTTTGGGGGATTCAAATTCTCTCACTGCTGCGGAAGCCCAGAAGACCCTTACCCTATAGTCCCAGGCATAATTTGGGTTAAGGAAGCCAGTTTCCCAATAACCAGGGAATAAAAAATTGGGACTATTCCTGTTAATGGCTTTGCCTTCTCACTAGGCTTCCTCAGAAGCTGAGTGGATCACTGGTCTGGTAGCCACCGCACACACGGTCTCATGCCCACGGTAGACAAGTTGATGGAGTCTCCTTGCTCTCTCAGGCTTCCCCGCATGCTGGTGTCTCCAGAACAGAACTTCTAAGGGTAAAGGGTATTACACCTTGTTCTGCCTGCCTTTCCCTTAACCTGATTTAATTCTGCCCCATCAACTCTACATTTGGGCTTACCAAAGGACATACAGCAAGCCCTGACTGAGACCAACACACAACAGTTCCAAGTCCTGTCTGTCTTGGGTTCAAAAGGCAAGGAGCAAAGGTGATCAGGTTGCTCTGCAAATCCACAAACTCTGGGGTGAAACACGGTCTTTAACCTTCACATACAGCCAGCCCCTAGGTGCTGTGCAGGCCAGGCTTTGCCCTGTCTGGATGCACCCTGAAGCTCAGGTCTCCATGTTCCCTTGATTCTCCAAGCTCTTGACTGACAAAACAGTTCCATCAAAAATTCTCAGACTGGACAAAGGGATTGTCTGCCTTGTCTTGTTGTTAGTGGATATGAACACTGCTAGGCTCTGCCTGTCCCGCCCCCCACGCCCCATTTAAATACTCGTGTGGTTCATCAAGTTCAAACCCATTCCACCAAAACCAAGGGTACATCCAAATTCCCTGAAGGCACTGGATGCCTTGTATGTTATGTAACTCAACAGAATAAAGAAATGTGGGCCATGCCTGGAGTCTGGAAGCCTTAGATTGGAGATCCAACCATAAGTGGACTCTGACCCACTCAAGAAACAAAATTCATGTTCTCCAGCTTAATCCAAGATGGCGCCATCCCTTCCTCGGGATCATCTGTAACATGTCTCTGACTGACTAATGTTCTATCCTCCATGGAAGGATCTTTCAAAAATGCGTGCCCGACTCTCAAAGTTGGCATATGCTACAGGCCTCTCCCTACTCAACCGGCTGGACCAGCCTCTTCCCTCATTGGCTTTCTCTTCTGCACTAGAGTTAGAAATGTATCGGCTATGAATAAGCAGTGCACAATGGCCCAGGGCACCAGGTCCACATTGCAAGGAATGTAGGACAGGAGTTTTAAAAAACAGGGAAGTAGGCATGCAGAAATTAGGAAAACACCTGAAAGTAGAGCCTATAATGTGGACGTCACCTACAGACTTAGGGTGAAATGCCATCTCATGCAACACACTAGTATGGGCCAGAGAAGCTACTGAGATTTGTTGTGAGTCTACATGATTTGAGCAAGGTTTTTACCGATGCTTCTTCAAACATTTCTACACCCTGTGAGAATAGAGGCTTTCCTTAAAAAACAGATATTAGTTCTTCCTACAAGCTCATTTCTAGGGGTAGAGCAGTGGGGATTCTGGTTTACTAACCATACAAAATCAGACCCAAAACTCCATCTGAGATGTGAATTATAGGAATAATCCTTTGGTTTGGTAAGGCCCAGCTTCTTGGGAAAAGCCAGATATTGACCTGGTGGAGCAGTTTGGAAATCCATATCTACCTTTGATTCAGCAGAGAAGAGGGAATGAACATTAGGAATATTTCATTTCTTGTGCCAATAGCATTTCTACCTTTTCAAAGTGAAGCCAATGGAGGTTTGAAGCTTAGATCTAGCACTGGTCCTTCTTGTGATTCTAAAAAGGCAGTAGACTAGGATATTTAAGAAAAATGCCCATTTTGTAGCCTAGTGGATTTTATTTTCCCTCCCAAATGTTCACAGATATTAACTCTTAAAAAGGGTAAATATGCCTGGCCCTTCTGGGTACTAAGGCACCACAGCAGCCAGCAAGAAAGTACAAAGAGGGTTGTGGTTATGGTGGGCCAGCCACTGGAGTGGGGAAAGAGAAGTGAACAGGGTCAGGATGATCCTGGGGGCAAGAGGGCAGTGCCCTACGACCAGCCCCAAGGCAAGGGCCGGGGAGAGGACTTCCACGCCTGCTTTCAAACTAGAGAAAGAAGATGCAGAAGAAGTACGGACAAATGAAAGGCAGAACTCAGGCTCTGAACAAATAGGTGGTTTATGGTCAGTTAGTTTTGGCATCTTACCATGAGTGGAGGTGCAGCTAAGGAACCTGGTGCCTCTGCAGAGGACACCACAGGGTGCCTTCCAGCCTGGCTGGCCCCAGGAGCCTCATCCCCAGTGGGGCAGAGCAGTCCCAGCTTCCACCCCGGGGTCTGTGGCCCAAGGGCCAAAAGGTTGACTAGCAACATTTTCTGCACATATCCATGGATATGTCCAAGGAGAGTCAGGAGCTGCTGTCTTCAGAGGGAAAAGGCTCAGAAGACAGAAGATGCCTTTCCTACCCCCTGCCACCTGGTGCCAAAGGATTATCATCAGGCAAGCTTCCTCAAAGGCAAGCAGCCTTCCTTCAGCATTGATAGGAAGATGGGGAAATTAATAGGGGTAATACGAGCTCATTTCAATAATAATGAGCTTATGAGCATGCCAGGTTTTGATCTTTTCTGAGCGTGGATTCCTGGCAGGAACTAGGGTCCTACGTAGGTAGTTGAAAGAACTGAAAATAGACTTTAAAAAAATTCCCCAACAAACGGCAATAAAAAAGAAACCACCCCAATCACAAACTTAAAACAACAACAATAAAAATAAAAAAAGACTTAAACATCGCTCCCGCAGAAGAAAAGGGAAAAAAAAATTGGACTGACATAAAACCTTTTCTTCGTCTTTTAAATACTGTTTTTAACGGCTTCAAAAGTAATAAATTGTATGTGGCTAAAAACAGATCTGGGGTACTGGTAAATGGGGCCTTGTGACTCATTCAGCACAAGGAACTGTCAATACTTTTTTGAGCTGTCAGAAATCCATTTAGTGATTTTTGACAATTCAAAAAATATTTCTGACTGCTTGGTTCAGTTCCTAGCGAATTAGAGAAGGAGAGAGAAAGAAGAAATATATCAGTTCAGTTGATGAACGCAGAGACCAGCTTCCTAAAGCCTGCTCTGTGCTAAGAGGAACATCAAGAAGCTGAGGTTAAGACACACTCCCCCGGGTTAGCGTTGCCTTCGTCCCTCTGCCTTGCTGGTCCTTCCCTCCATCCCTCCCTCTCGTCCGCCCTCCAGTCTTCCTTCTTTCCCTCCCTCCTTCTTCTTTTCCTCCTTTCTCTATTCCTTCCCCCCTTCCTTTTTCCCTTCCTTCTTTCAACAGGTGAAGTAAAATCACAGAAATCCATTCACAGGTTCATGGTGGAAAAGTACTTTGTTCACTTGTCTCTAACAGGAATATCCTGGGACTAGTCTCCAAGGGAATCATACACTGAGTTTCTCTTTCAAGAAAGGCTTCAAAATACCAGTATCTGGGTGCCAAGAGTACGATTTGGTGATCCTCCCTGCTCCTCCTTCATTTGACCAAATTCTAGGTTTCGAATTTATTATCCTGTTTTAAAATGTGGAGTTCCTTTAGGGTAACCATACTCTTTAAGGAGGTAAAGTGCCAGTTTGCTAACAAGATCAGGCGGGCATAAGTCCAAGAGACAGGATCACAGCACTTCTAATCAGAGACTTCACAATGTACATTTCTTATTAGAACAACAGACAGACACGTGGACAGACAGACGGACAGAAGGCAATAGCAGAAAGCCAAAGTCACACAGTCACTGCCATTTGGTACGCCTAAAGGTGAATCACAAACACCTCAGAACCATCTCCCTTCTTTGGAGAGAGGGTCACTTTATTTCTACATTCGGTTAGTGTAATATGATTTGAGTACCCTCTAAGTCAATGTAAAGAAAAGTTCCAGAAAGCAGATCTGGCTGAGCAAAGCACTGAGAACTTGTCTTTAGGCGTCTGATGCGCAAGTTGAAAATACTGAAAAGTTGGCAAGTTACAACGTTCTCTGTTTGTTTTTCAGGCGCTTTGTCCTCTGGTTAGTTAGTTCACTCTGTGAGACACCCGCCCATGCCTTTCTCACAGGCATCTGAGATCATTATGATGCAAATTAGAACACGAAAATATGATTTCTAGAACTTGTCAATGAAATGGACTTTTGTGATTGTCTACATTGCATATACAGCATCGCTTTTTTATGTTCAGTCCAACATTTGCTAATGAATGTCTACCCCATTTTTTTTTTTTTTAATGCACAATTCAGCCCTGATATTTGGGGAAATAAACTAAAGGAAGAGGATTCTAAAACTTACCACACAAGTCTGGCCTCTTGCCACATCCAGAACTCGCTGTGCTACTCGCAAGTCCGTTCAAGGCTGCTAAGCCATCGCAGCTGTAGGCCCTGAGGACCGACAGCATGTTCATGGGCTTCTCCAGGCCCGAGGGCCCCCGCTCGCGCTTTGGCAGGCCCGCCGAGGTCTCCTGGGCTGGAAGGAGGCTTGGGCTGTGCCACTGCTTCTCGGACGCTTGCGGTAGAGGTGACACGAGTCCCTGGGCGGGCTGGGGGGTGCCCGTGGGCAGCAGGCTGTCCCCGCCATCACCGCTGTCCTTGCTGAGGGCAGACACGGGGTTGGTCATCATTTCAGGTTCAGTCTCAATGTCCTCCTCTTCGTTGTTCCCCCCCTTGGAGGAGTCCATGTCCTCGGAGGAGGCAATGTCGGACAGGTCATCACCAGTGTTCTGATTTGTGGTTTCGGGGATCAGGATGGGGGCTTCATCTTCAGGGGGGACCTTCCCACCAGGCTCGCTGCTGGGACAGACACTGGAGGGTCCCGAGCCAGCCACACTTGGGTAAACGCTGAACTGCTTGTAGAAGTCTGATGGGAAGTTACAAAACGCAGGGTCCACGTGGCGGGACCACGTGCCGCTCTTCTGCTCCCCCATAGTCTCCTTGACCTGCCCTTGGGCGATCTTCTCAGAAGCAGAGTCTAGAGGGCCAATCACATGGGAGAGCCCCAACTCTTTGCTTGATTGTACTGTGGGTAGCACAGCCATTTTACTCGCCTCCCTGGCTTGCTCTTTGCAATTGATGGGCATCCCCAAGGCGTTATCTTTGCGTTTCGCCCTGCCGAGGTGGTTGGCCTGGAGATGAAGGGCCATAAGTTCCATGGAGGATGTTGTGAAAGAACAAAATAAGCAGCCATGCCATGCGATGTTGTCTTGAACAGTCACCGATGAGCCTGGAAGGGAGGCGGCGTCTGGCCTCACAGACAGATCTAGAGGTTCGTACTGAGATTTCTCAGACTTCCTCTGGGAGGATTTACCACTGGGCTTCTCCTCGCCACCCTCTGCCCCGTGGACTTTCATGGAATGAGGGTCAGACAGGGCTTTGTCCTTCATTTCCTTCTCCTTCTTCAAAGAGCTGAGGACAAAGCTGTCCATGAATGCTTGCAAGGACCCCTGGAAACTCACACCATTGCTCACAATGCTTTGATAAGCTCTTCCAATTTCAGAGAAGTGGGTACTTTTGGAAGGAAGGTCAGCGCCTTTCAGAGTGTCTGAAGGAGCCTCGGACGACATGCCGGTGGCCGGCCCCGAATGGTCTCCCGATGAGAGCACCCCCAAGGTCCACTGCTGAGAGGCAGGGCCCCCTCTAAAGTCAATTCCAGGGAGGCCCTTGAAGGCACCCCTGAGGATGTCTGGTCTGATAAACAATGAGGCTTTGTTGGGCATCTCCTCCTTGTGGTCTTGGCTTGGGGGCTGTCCAGACAGAGCCCCGGCCCCGTTCTGTCGCTCCCGATGGTGTCGTTCTAGGTGGTATTTTAAGGACGCTGACTGGGTGCCGGCATAGTCGCAGTGGGGACATTTGTAGGGTTTCTCACCTGCAGATTTTGGTATAAGAAAAAGAAATGAAAGCGTTTATCTCATTTTGGTGTGCTGAACAAGGCTAGAAGGATCAACATTTGTTCTTTGAAACAAAGCAGCTCAAACTAACAATTAGTTAGAGAACAACTGTTTTTTAATAGAAGAATAATTCGTACTCTTAAGCTTTTTTAATGATTTTGTACCATTTGGGACTATTCAGGAATGGCATACTATCTACACACAATTAGCTATCTTTTTCTTTATCTAACATGTGAAAACGGCTATAGATTTAAAAGCTATGATTATGAAAATTAAGCACAATAATTTCAACCACAGTGATCATTAAAAGTAGAAGTTTAAAAAGACAAAGTATGTAACAAATGGGTGGTTGCAATATTTTGTGTATACAATAGCTCTAAAATTTGTTTGAATTATACACATGGAAACCATTTTTAAACCTAAAAATTTTATGGCACTGTTACGCAAGACTGAAATGAATGATTTAAGTCTTGCTCTGTAGTAAATCACGGATATAATTAGCAAATGGCATACTGCACAAGTAATTTATCATTATTTGGAGGGCACCATTCCAGACGGGCTCAGATATCTGCAGACCTACTGCATTGTTTCTAAATAAAGAACTATAAATACCGATTCTATAAAATATTAATATCGTTACAGTGCATTATGATTGCCGCATGTAAAGACATATAGTTAAGATAAAAAGCAGTCAGTAAAACTTAAAAGAAAATGAGTAATAAAAAGGCACAAAATATATTTCGTTTCTGTATTTGAAATTAACATTATCTACTGGTCTTCGTAGCGCCTTAAATTTGTACTAATGGCAAACCTAATGCTCTGGTGTAAAATGTGTAATTTACCTATAATAAGCGCTTTCTAGAGAATAAAAATAGCTTTAAAGAGTGTTTTAAAACATATTAGATAATTTTCAGGAATTAAATATTTATTTAAATTCCACCCCCAAATTCTATTGTTCTCGCCACGACGGAAACGATACCGTAAGGTACAGCTTATGCCTGCCCTCCTTGTGGAATGGAGGACAGGAAGGTAAACAAATGTGGCTTTAGAGGTATTCCAAGAATCGGTTAGTAATCCTGGGTCTTTTCTAGACTTTGGAATCACAAAGCTCTCTGTAAGAAATGGAACTGTGACAGTCCCCGTTTAGCTTACTCACAACAGTACCCTGTCAATATCCACAATAATTTCTCCAAGGAAGCTCAACTGTTTCCCCCCTCCTCTGTTGTTCCATCGTGAAACAAGCTGATTTAAAAGCAACAGCAAATCTTTGGTGAATGGTATATTCTGAAAACATATTACTGTGTCTAGTCTTCGCTGATGGCCATTCTTTAGGCATAGGGCATTTCAGGGCAGGACATTCAGGGGATGCTAAACCAGGGGAACGCCAGCCCAGGTTCTGAGCAGGGGCCCCATGCCATCTCTGGACTGCTGCCAGAACCTTGGAGACACGATGCCTGCCTCATCAAAATGGCGGCCAAGGGTTCCTTGTGTGCGTGCCTACAGCAGCTGAGGAACTCCTTGGCTAGGTCTTTAGAAATGGCTTTCAGTCAGGGCAGGAGCCCAGGTGGGAATCTATTTCTCTAAGCCTGCAGGTCACAGTCCTCTCTGGCTAAGCCAATGACATAGATCCAGGAGGCTCCTTTGAGGTCAAGGTACACATGGTCTCAGGCACTCAGTATTTTCTCCCTTGTTGGATTTGATCCCGTGTTAGACACAAACTCACTTCATCCAGTGCTATTTGGACATCCCCCCTGCAGGCCAAAGAACCATCCCCAGAACAGGCGCTGGAAATGGCAACTGCTGGGCAAGCAGGTGTCACAGCCCAGTCACCTCACCCCGGTTGCAGCAGAAGTGGTCCCTAAAGCTGAGGGGGTCATGGTGGAGCTTGTGACAGGAAAGGCTGACCAGAAACTCAGGATCCCAGCCCATGGGCTAGAGCAAACCCTGGGAGCGCCCAGCAGAGGCGAGGCCGGCAGGTACTAGGTGAGACTCAGGATGCATTTTGGAAATGCATCTGGAAGTGATCAAGTGCATCTGGCAAATGGTTCGTAGAGAAAGCGTGGGCATTCATTAGCAGGAGCTAAGGGGGGAGCGGCTAGAATATGGACTCTCACCGCCAGGCCGGGGGTGGGGTGGGGCTGCCTTCTTGGGGTGGACTGCAGGGATGCACATAAAATATGTGTATGTATCCTCAAGAGACACTCATTTGAAATGCACATGGAGGTTTGTTAAAATACAGAGCGTTCTGATTACCTAGATCCAGGGTGGGGGCAGAAGCTACGGTTCTGTTGTTTTGTTTTTTCCTTTAATTTTTTTTTTATTGTTAAAAAAAATATATCTGTATACTACAACATTTGTCAATTCCGCATCTTCTACATGTACAATTCAGTGACGTCGAGGACGGTAATCAGGTTGTGCAACCATCACCAGAATCCACGGGCCAGTTTTCCGGCCCCATAGAGAAGCTGGCGTTTGTTAACAAGCCCCCAGTGATTCTGATGCAAACAGTAGAAAGACCACACTTGGAAAGGTCAAAATGGAATTGCCTGGGGAGCTAGAAAACATGCGAATACCTGGCCCCGCCTCCACCTCCAGAAATTCAAATTGTCCAAGGTGTGGTCTGAGCATTGGGATCTTTCAAAGTTCCCCAAGTGCCCCCCTCCATGGAGCCTGGGTTGAGACTCACTGTCTGGGGCCTCCCTGGGAAGTAGCCTTTGAGACAGGTCCTGAGGGACAACTCACTAGGGGAGACAGTCTGGCCACCAGGAGGGGTTTGAGAAGCTGGGCTGGGGAGCCGAGATGTCAAGCCCCTTGGAAACCCCTGCCTTGGGGCATCTGCGACCTCAACCTGTAAAGTGGGAAGGTTGGAGCACATGTTCTCTAAGGCTCCATTCCAACTCCAAAACTTGTATCAAGAGCTAAGCCAAGTCTCCTGGATGGGGCAATAGACACAGGTGTGTGTCTGTGACACATGCACGCATGCGTACACCTGGAAATGTGTAGATCTGTTCACACATGGTCTCAAGACCCAATAAATCAATGGATGAATGAGCACCTCCTACCTCCCAAGCATTGCCCTTGGTGCTGGGGATTGAGGGAGGAAGCGGGGAACAGGCCTCTGTGGTCACAGTTTCAGAGGCGACACGTCGTATGATTAACGCCAGAGTGCACACACACACACACACACACATACATGTACACACACATGCCCACACATTTATACACACACGTATACACACACATACACACACATACCCACACATATATACACACACACCAGCACATATATATACACACACATGCCCACACATGTATACACACACATACACACACATGTATACACACCCACCCACACATATATACACACACATCAGCACATATATATGCACACACATGCCCACACATAAATACACACACATACACATCCATATATACACACACATACACATTCACAGCATACATACACACGTATACATACATATTTACACACACACCACATACATACATACACATACACACATTCATAACATACATACACATATACACACATACACACACACAACACATACACACACACACACACACACACACACACACACACACACACAGGAGAGGGTCTCAGTCCTCCGCTCTGTTGTTGTCAGGTACTGTCTGTTCTACTAAAGTTCAGAACAGGCCTTGGCCTCCCACCGCTCCAGGGACAGAAAGGCCACAGCTGAGAAACGAGCGCGTTCATTCCCAGCACTGGGCCTGCACTGGCCCGGCCTGGTGAACTTGGGGCTGGGTGGCACATTTCCAAGGGCTGTTCTGAGGGCAAGAGACATGCACCCTTCCCAGGCCCTCCACCACGGCGAGGGAAGGTCCACTGTCTACATCTCTGCACCATCCCGTGTCCTGTCAGCTCCTAAACGGCCTGGGTGACTGCTCCTTGCTGCCACCACCCTGATTCCCCAGATAAACGCCCCGAGTGAAGTTCCAGGGAAGAAAACAGCTCTTCGGACTGGCGTTTTTCCTTTTCAAAAACCCTTGATTTAATTTTCTTTGTAACTCCTAAGCTCTTTGATAACCCCTGCTGTCCTCTCTCATGACGCCTTTGCTCACCTTGCCTGGGCTTCGTCTCCAGTGAGGGGCACAGGGGAATTCCCTGGAGCTCGGCCCTCCCAAGGAGCGTGTTTGGCCAGGCCAACACGGGGGACTGCCACCATCTTGTGGGGGTCGCTCTCTGAGAACCCCAGCCCAAGGGCTTCATTTTCCACCGGAAACATCCTAGCTGTTTTCTAGGCATCCTTTCCCCAGAGGGTGCTTTTCAGAGTGCTCGCGAGGCAGACTTCTCACACCATTGGCCCAGGCTGGGGGGGTAACAACTGAAAGGAGGAAACAGTCAGCAAGTTTAAGGGGTTCTGAGGTGCGGTCAGCGCCTGCTCCCCCATTTGGCCGACACACACGAATGCCGAGTCCACCTGTGCCGGGAGCTGTTGTGTTAATAAGGGTCGCCAGCATCTGGACACCTCCTCCTCCGGAAAGCTCCAGGCTGACACTAACAAATCCCAGGCGCGAGGCATGGCCAGACTTCCTGCCGAGGATGAGGCAGTGAGCCTGCCAGGCCCTCTCCAACCAATGCCCAACTCCGTCCAAGACTGGAAAGGCCTTCGCTGTGCAGCCTGGTGGCACAGGCCACCCCAGGTCCTGCCAGCAGCTCTGTCTCGTTGAATGATTGGCCACTTAGACCATAAATGAGTCCAAATCTACTGGGGGATCACACAGTCTGTCCCAAGCTTTCCAGGGGTCACGAGTGCTCCGTCACCTCCACGGTCCCTCTCCAGATGTTTGGGACTTGCTGTCTTTCTGTTGCCTGTTGTAGGGGTCACAGACACAGATGTTTGCAAGGAGGGACAGGACGCAGGAGAGAACAGAACAAGGCGCAGGGGCAAACGACTCTCCGAGAGGGTGGCTGCCCCGCAGGGGACGGCTCTGGCTT